GCCGGGTGTGCTGCTCCCTGAGTCCCCCCGAACCCCTACGAGCCCCCCGAGCCCCCCGAACCCCCCCTCACCGGGGTGACGGCGGCGCTGAAGCCGATCTCGCAGTAGCGCTTGTCGTGCTCTGCGGGCACAGGGCAGGGTCAGACCGACACGGGGTGGGGGGCACCCCCCGTTCCTCCCCGAGCCCCGAGCCCCCCTCACCGTAGTTGTTCTGGCGGTAGGTGTTGGCCATCGACTGGTCCCGGCAGGGCGAGTACCAGACCACGCGCCGCAGCCCCGGGGTCGCCACGAAGCAGGTGCCCGTCGGGGTCCGGAACGCCTCGTCCGGCCCGTCCACCGCGTTCCAGTGCTGCAGCGGGGCGCAGGCCTGGGCAGGGGCACAGGGATGGCACAGGGTGGGTGCCCACCCCGCCGTCACCACCCACGGGTGTCCAAACCACCCCCCGCCGGCTGCACCCACCACCAGTTTGCCGTCCCAGCCGGTGACGGACGCGCCCAGCCACTGGTGCGACTTGTAGGTGTGGAATTCCAAGGTGCCCTGGGTCTCGGTCTCGTCCCCTGGGGGAGCGGGAGAGGGGGATTTTGCGGCTCCGGCACATGCCCTGTGCCCACCCAGCACCGCACGGCGCCCACGTACCCGCGGTGTCGATGGGGAGGGGGCGGCAGGGGGTCTCGTCGGGGGGCCAGGAGCAGAGGAAGACGGCGCCGGGCTGAGCCACGCCGGGCTGGGAGGTGTTGGCACGGGGGGCCCCCACGGCCACGCTGGGCCTGGGGGGCAAAGCGGGTGTCATCTGGGGGGGTGGGTGCTGTGCCCGACCCCCGCCCCGCGGTGTGTCCCTACCTGCCCTCTGTCATGAGGAAATCCAGGGCGAAGCCGAAATAGCTGCCGGGGGGTCCCGTGTACTCGGTGGGGGGTTCCTGGAGAAGCCCCAGGGTGGGGGGCAGGCGCAGCCCCCCGAGGAGCAGCAGCACCCGTAGCAGCCTCATGGCCACCCCGAAATGTGGCCACAGCCCCGGCACGTCCCGGGGCGGTCCCGGCTTATCTCGGAGGACGCAGTCGGGGCCGGGGACAGCAGTGATGGGGGGCGCAGGAAGGGCCCCCCCGAACGCGCATCCGCTCCTGCGGGAGCCAGAGGGGGGTGGGGGGGACGCGCTGGGTCGGATGTGGCCGGAGCAGGGTGGGTGGGGGGCAGGAGGTGGCAGTGCCACCGGGGGACACTGGGAGAGCTGGGGGGACAGGGGGGCAGCACAGCACCCACCACCAGCCTCCCACCGGGGCCGAATCCAGCCCGCCCTGGGGTGCCTGTCTCGGGGGGTTATTTCGGGGTGCGGGCAGCCCTGGTCAGAGGAAACGCGGCGGGGAGGGGGGAGGACAGCAGGGCACGGGGCCCCTGCATCGTCCCCGGTGTCCCCTCCGCAGCCGGATGGAGCAGACAGCACTGGCCCCACCAGCAATGGGCACTGCCCACAAACTGTCTCCCCCCCTTCCCCAGGGTAGGGACACCCCAAAACCCTCCCAAGGGGCCGAGTAGCACAGGGAAATGGCTCTGGGAAGGGGATGGGTGCCAGGTGGGGGAGCAAGGGGGGTTCCTGTCCCCTGTGGAGGAGCTGGTGCCCCTCAGCCAAGCCAGGCCTGGGGTAGCTGTGGGGGCTCAGCCCTGCCTGGACAGTGGCTGAGCCCCTGAACTCACCAGCACAATTAATTTAAACTCAATTAATTAAGGACCCTCAGGGTGCCTCGGGGCTCCAAAGGTTCCTCATGCTCTCCCAGAGCCCGTAGCAGGGACAGGCCCCGGAACATCTCCCTGTGATCCAGCCCCACCTGTGAAACTTCCTTTCCATCTCTGAAGCTGCAGGTGGGAAGCAGGACAGAGGGGTCAGGGGGTCCTGGAGGGCACAGGGAGGCCACCACAGTGCCCAAACGGTGGTTTGCCAAACGGTGGCTCCTGCAGCGCCAGAGCCCGGACTGCTCCAGCCCCTCGGAGCAGCTGCAGTTGGAAAACAGCTGGAGCAGAGCTCCGAGGGGTGGGAAGGGTTTAGCTGAGCCCAGCTGAGCTCTGTGCCCCGGCAGAGCAGGACACTGGGCTCAGGGGCAGCTGTTCCTCCTCGGGTGGTCTCATTCCTCGCTGGCAGCAGCATCCAAACCCAGCTGGAGCCCATACCAGGCTCCTTCAAGGCCACTGTGATTCCTTCTCCCTTTGAATTACTTATTTCTCTGTTCCTTGCAGCTCTTCTGCACCATCACTCATCAGCCTCCCCGGCCCAGGGCCACCCAGAGGACAGACAGGCAATGGCAGGTGGCACCCTGTGCCCCCACCCTGGCAGTGTTCAGTGGGGTTTGGATTTTTTTCCTTTAACCAAACCAGGACCTTATTTAGGAAAGGAGAGGTGGGTGATCCTCCTCCTGAGCTCTCACGGCTTCTGACACTCGCCCAGGCTGGATCAGCAGCACAGCCTGGGGCGGAGGGACCCTGGGGGCAAAACTCCCAAAATCCCATGGCATGACCTGGGCAACCCCAAACTCCTCGACCACGGTGGGGACAGTCCTGAGGAGCAGCTGAGGGACCTGGGGGGGCTCAGCCTGGAGAAAAGGAGGCTCAGGGGGGACCTTGCTCTCTGCAACTCCCTGACAGGAAAAGGGAGTCAGGCTCTGCTCCCAGGGAACAAGGGATGAGAGGAAACGAGCTCAAGCGAGATTTAGGTTGGATATTAGGGAAAATTTCTTCCCCAAAATGTTTGTCCAGCCCTGGCACAGCTGCCCAGGGCAGGGCTGGAGTCTCCATCCCTGGAGGGGTTTAAAAGCCCTGTGGATGTGGCACTTGGGGACATGGTCAGTGGTGGCCTTGGCAGTGCTGGGGGATGGTTGGACTCCATGACCTCAGGGGGCTTTTCCAATCTGAACAATTCCATGACTGCAGGACAAGGCTGCAGCCCAGGTCAGGAACTGCTGAAGAGGGAGATGGAAAAAAGGGACATGAGGGCTGACAGACCCCCAACACCACACAAGGAGCTGCTGGGAGTGCGGAGAAGCAACACCATCCTCATGGGTAGGAGCTGCTGCCCTTCCCACCTCGGTTTCTGGCCGCTGTCAGATGACACAGGAATGGACATTTTCTCTATCTTACAAGCAAAATATTCCCATTAAAAGTATGACCCAAGCATCCCCTACCATAATTTAAGGAGAAAGCCACCTGATGCAGCAGCTCCATGCCATCACACACCACATTTTTTTTCCACAAATCATTGGTTTATTAGAAAGGTTTTTTCCCTCATTTTACAGCATATATATATATTTATATATATATCTTATGTGACAAAGTTAAATACAGTCTGTTTATGCTCGTTAAGTAATGACAGGTTAATTATTTTTAGCGCTATCCTGGAAGTCCAAAAACAACCCCGGGATGGGGTCGGGCCCTACAAAGCTCAGCTCTGACAGTAACACTGAATTGTTGGGTATTTACAGGAAATTGAGTCCCTTTTTGTGACCCCTGTGTCACTCTGACCTGCTCCAATTTCTCGTTTACACAGTGAGGAAGCTCAGGGGGGGTTTGATCCTTTGACTCCACACTCCAGGAGGGGACAGGGAAGAGGATGAGGATGGAGAAGGGGACAGGGGTGCCACTGCATCCCCTCGGTGCCTGCTCTGAAATCCCACCCTACAGAGCCTCCCTGAGGTGCCCCAACCACCGTGACACGAGGGGACCCACACCTGCAGTACCCATGTCAGCAAACCATCCCCTGGGATGGGACAGGGAAGCTCCCACAGGGAAGAACTGGGAAACCCCTCATGGAATAAGTCAGGCAGCCCCAGCTCAGTGTGACCCTGTGTGTGGGATGGGAACGGTCCCAAGGCTCTCCTGCACCAGGAGCCTGTGCACATCACTGCTTCAAACGGGGGGAAAGGAAAAGGAAAGAGGGGGAAAAAAAAAGGATATCTGTACTCTGGGAGACACTCTGAATTCCTGCTGCTCCCCACGCTGCTCCAGTGCCCATTCCTATGGCAGGGAGGAGAGCAGCACCTGCTGGAGTCACCACTGCCCCCACTCCCTCACTGTGCCCAAGTCTCACCTGTTGGGTTTTTTTTTTCTTCTGCAAAATTCTAAATGAAGATTTTTATTATTTTTTTTTTTACATTTTTATAGTACATAAAAACTTCAAAAATACATGAGCTTGATAAAATATACATGCTTAGTTCGTTCTGCATCTAGCTGAAACTATAAATTGAACCTTTACAAGTGTCTTGGGTCACCTACAGCAAACATATTTACACAGAAAGCCACCAGAACAAGTACCACTAAGAACTGGCTGTAAAAAATATTATTGCGATATACTACAAATGTAACCTTTGATAGGAGCTACAAAAAGCAGCATCTTTGTTTACAGAGTTCAGTGCAATTCTTTACATTAAAAAAAAAATAATCCTATAAATTAATAAGGAAACAACCATCAGTGTTACAGAGGAAAGAACACGCTTCGCACCCCTGGCCGCGCTCCTCGTCCTCTGTATTGCTTCAATTCCTAACGGGATTTTCCTTCTCTCTCCCATCCCAGTGCCTTTTTCCCAACACCACAGAAGATGGAAGTCAGAGTGATTTCTTTTTTTCCCCCCCCTTCCAGGAGAAGAGTGGTCAAAGCCCAGACTGGAATTCCCAACCCCAACGAGCAGCTCTCTCCAGTCCGGGATATGCAGGCGCGGTCCTGGCACAGGAGAACACGGATGCAGGATGGAGAAGGATGGGAGCTCCAGGCACACACACAGCTTCTTCTCCTCTTTACAGTAAGATCTTACTTCCACCTTTGCTGCTCACACCAAGGAAAAACCCACATGTGCAGTGACAGGAGCCAAGAAACCTCCTGTAAGGCCTGAAAACTGAGACCTCCTCGCTGGGATCCGCAGCCGACAGCTCCCGAATGTTCCATCGCCAATTACACACCGGGTTCAATCATGCTGACTATTTTAATTAGATGACCTCATTAAAAGGATTTTGAGAGACCTATTAGTGTGGATGAGACCTCACTTATTATATACAAGGCGGCAGAAGGAAGATGACCAAGTGTAAGAACCCAGGGGGGGGGAAAAAAAAGCCTTTCCAAGTGTCTCGCTGGTCTGCAGGTGAAATGGTTCTTGGAACGGTGCCGCTGCGTGCACGGAAGTGTCGGAGTGAGACATCCCTGGGAGTGGATATGGACAACGCTGCCGCCCAGCCCTTGAGCCTCCGGCTTCTTCGGCTGCTCAAGAGTGACAGGAAATGCTCAGGCCTCACCCGCCCGCTGGATCAGCTCCAACCCCTTCCCAAAACTCCGAGGTTCCTTCGTTCTGTCCTTCATGTGCCGTGGCTGGGTGGGTGCTGCAAGTCCTGTCCTGAGAAAATGGGGTGCAGCAGGGGGTGGAGGTGCAAGGCCGTGGCGGCGGCGGCAGCGGCGGGTCTCGGGGCCAGGAGGGTCGGGTAGAGAGCGTGTGGGACCGGGTGGAACGTGAAGGGGCCCGGGTGGATGGCTGAGGCCGGAATGATGTGGATGGGGTGGCTGGCCAGGAAGGTGGCGGGGTGCCCTGGAATAATCGAGTGGGTCAGGTGGGATAAGGAGATGGGCGTCAGGTGGGGCTGGGGGATGTGGTGGACCTGAGCGAGGGGCTGCGGGTGGGGGTGCGGGTGGATGCCGATGGCGGCGGCGGCGGCGGCGGCGTGGTGCTGCAGGATGGCGTGCTGCACCGTGGTGATGGACGTGGCCGAGGCCGCCGCCGGCTGCTGGATGTGGATGGGCTGGAGCGCGGGCGCTGCCGGTGCCAGGGCCGCCGAGGCGGGGAAGGCCTTGACCTGCTTGGCCAGGAGCTGCTGCTGGATGTGCTGCTGGGCCGCCTGCTGCAGCTTGCTGTACTTCTCCATCTCCTCGGGGGTGAAGGTGATGGGTTGGCTCTCCAGCGGGGCCAGAGAGGAATCTTCTGCCCCTTCCCGATCCCCTTCCATGCTCGGCTCGCCGCTCTGAGGCACATAGCCAGGAAAGTGCTCGACGTCTGGAACTAAGGGCATCATACTGCTTTCCACTGGGACCGGCTGGCTGCCCCCATCCATAGGTTCCAGCCCATCACCATCGTTCGGATCCGAGAGGAAGTTGTGTGACATGACCAGATCTCCGGAGCCAAAGCACTCGGGGAGCGACGGCGCTTCCAGGGGAATCGACGGCATCTCCACGGCAGGTTCGTCGCGTTTCGACTCGTCCAGAGGTTTGTCCTGAATGACCATCACCACATCTTCCAGGAGAGACTGCCCGGCCAGCTGACCCTCCTCCATGCCTTGGGAACTGTCCTCAGCATCCGACAGCTCTTGCTCCTCACCCCTCTCCAAGCCAGACTCCTCGTATCGTTTGGAGTTCGGTTTCCGCACCGTTGGCAGCTTCCCGATTAACGGGAGAACCGGTTTGTTGCCTAAGGAAGGAGGAAGTTTCGGGCCGAAGTAGCCCTGGGGAGGATCTTTGAGTTTTATGCCCACCTTGTTTGCCCCCACCAGCACCTCGTCAGCCACACAAGGCTTCTTCTCAACCTTCCTGGACTGAATCTTTTCCAAGAGCAGCTTTGCAGTGACAGAGTTTCTCTCCTCAGGACTGCAGTCCCCTTCCGAGGCCCGCCCCGTGCCAGAGCTGCTGCTGTTCTGGGAGAGAGAGCCAGATCCTTTCAGATCCTCTCCTTTGCCCTCCTCTTTCTTCAGCAGCGATCCTTCACCTCGGCCTGTCCGAAAATAGTGCGGGGATTGGGAGCGATAGATCTTGGACCTGATGAAGTCCCTCCTGCCAGACCTTCTCTCCTCGGGGCTCTCGTGGCCCCGTGAGCCCTTCCGAGACAGGGACCTCTGCGAGTGGCTCCGGGTGCTGCGGCTCCGGTCCCGGCTGTAGCTGCGGCTCCGCTTCCAGCTCCGACCCGTCACACTCCGGCTCCTCCTCTTGCTCCGACTGCGGCTGCAGCTGCTGCTGCGGGTCCTGCCCCGGCTCCTTGATCTTGACCTGCCCCGAGGGTGGGTTCGGCTCCTGCTCCGGCTCCTGGACCTGCTCCTGCTCGAGCTGTAGTCATCCTCTGACGAGGAGTATTTGCGCCGCTTCGAGCGGTGGTTCGAGCTGTTGTAGTCGGAGTCATCCTCCGAGTCCTGGGAGCGTTTGGAGTGGCAGCGGGAGCGGTCGCTGTAGTCGCTGTAGCTGTCGTCGGAGTAGCTCCTGCGGCGGCTGTACCGGCTGTGCTCCGAGGAGGCGTCAGAGCTGCTGGAGTAGGACCTGTGGGAGGAGTGCCCGCGGCCCGAGCGGGAGCGGCTGCGGGAGTGCTCGCTGCCGGAGTCGTAGTCGTCGCTGTAGTGGGACGGGGATTTCTGCCGGCAGTGCTTCCCGTGGGAGCCCTCGTCGCTGTCGTAGTCGCCACTGCTCTGCCGGCTCCGGCGGCCGGGCCGGCCCTGGGACGCAGCCGGGCAGCGCCTCCGCGCAGCAGGGACCTGCTGCAGCTCAGCCTTGTGTTTCTTGCTGCCGTGCTCTTGGCAGGAGTTACCCCCGTCCTCTTTTTTACCGCTGCTTCCCTCCTCGGCAGACAGGGATTTCCTCTGGGACTCCTGGGAGCACCGCTTTTTCTTCTGGAAGTGGCTGCAGTCTTCTGACAGTTCGGGTTTCAGCACCCGGTCTGACTCCGTCGAAAGGGAGGATTTGCCTTTTTTGTGCCTGTGCCTTTTCCGTTTCTTGGGTTTCTCTTCCCCCAGCTCAGCTTTCCGGCCCTTCTCCTCAGCTACCTCCTTGTGTCTGCGTTTGTGTCTGCTGGACTTTTTGTGCTTCTTTTTCTTTTTGTGTTTATGGGACCTACCCGATTTACTCTTCCCCGTTATGCTCTTACTGTTGTCCTCCCCCTCCCCCTTACCGACGCTGCCCTGGTCGGACTCCTGCTTGCTCTGGGATTTGTTCTCTGTTTTCACAGCAGAACTGTTGCCTACACTTTCACCCTCCTTGGCTTTGCTCACCTCACCAGACTCTGTGCTCTGAGTGTTGTCTTTACAAAGTCCCCCCGGATCCTTGGATTTCTCTGCCCCTTTCCCTTTGGCATCTTTGTTGCGGGAGAGCTTGAAGTCGAAGTACAGGGGGTTACAGCTGTAGGACACAGAGGGCTCAGCTTTGGTGAATATGAGCAGCTCTGAAGGCCACTGCAGTGTTGTGCTCTCATCTTTACTCAAAACTGGGAAAAAAGGTCCTGTCGGGTGCTTTGGTCCCTCAGAGCCATCTCTGCAGCCCGAGGCAGGTGGAGCAGCTTCTTTAGCAGTGTCTGGCTCGGGGGGTTTGCTCTCTGGAAGGTGTTTGCTCTCCTCTGTACTTTCATTCTCCTGGACGTCTTTTGGCTCTGTTTTGCCCTGCTGGGATGTGGTTTCAGTAGTACTCTGCTCCTTCTGCTGCACCGTGCTCTCAGTGGCTTTCTCCGTGTGCTTCCCGGGTTTGGGTTTGGGGGAAGTCCCCTTTTTCACTTCATTTGTGTTTTTTTTGTTCACATTTTCAGCTTCCATTTGTTCAGTTGACTTCATGAAAAGCAGGAATTGAAAATTGGGCTTCACTTTACAGTGGGCTGGGGGGATGTAGTGGTAGTACTCTGGTTCCACGGCCGTTGGTCCATCTTCTCTCCTCATCTTCTTCAGTTTCGATAAGGTGCTGGCCAGGGACCCGCTGTCCTTGTCATGCTGGTCATCGTCCTCCTTGCCGTCAGAATTGTTGGTGCCTTCTCCCTCCCCAGACTTCTGCAGGCTGCCAGCCTCTGAAGACCCCCTCTCATCCCCTTTTGCCCCATCTGAAGAGCTGGACTCTTCCACATGGTCCTTGAAAACAGAAGCAATGGTCTCCAGCTTCACCGGGGTCTTCTTCGCGAAGGAAAACGACACCCCGATCTTCTGCAGGGGAGTCCCCAGAGAGCTCTTGATGCCAAAGCTGATGGCCTGTGCTGCCTGGGAGGGCGCCTGGCTTGGCATCACACCCTGTCCAGTGTTCAGGAAGCCTCTGTCCATAGTCATCTCTGCAGCCTGGCCAGAACTCGTCTGGACAAAGGAGCCGCTGTTGGCCGCGGAATCGTCGTCGTCTCCACCTTCCTCATCCACGGCCACAGTGGTGGTTCTGAACATGGGCCCACTTCCAGGAGCACTGTGGGAACAGGGGAGAGAGAGAAAACAGCTCACTGGTGTCCATGTACCTCTGGAATGGGATTCATGCCACAGCTGAGACAGTCCTACACAGTTCAAGTGCTCTTTTACCCCCACACACGCAAAAAATAACATTATACAGCCACTTGGAGTTTTTAATAATATTAATTAACTGAAGAAAATATATTGATGGATAAAGCACTTTGAGGATGCTCTGGATTATCAGTTTAGTGAATTCATTCCTACCAAAACCACAGCATGAGCCTAAATGTTAGTGTGAAGCTTCACCTTCAGAATCTGCAGAGGATTCTGGAGCAGGAGTGCCAGCACAGCACAGGGTTGCAGCCCACCCTGTGCTCCAAGGGTGCTTGGGACCACCCAAACTCACCACTCAGGCTGCCTCCTCTGCTCAGCCAGCTCGTGCAGGCGCCGAAGGGCCTTCTCCTGCTTCCTCTCATCCTTCCGTGACCTCGAAGAGACATTGCGAGCAAATTCCCTTTGCTTGAGATCTTTCAACCTCTGAGGCAAAAGAAAGCAGGGACAGATCAGATCAAAGCTGTTTGTGCTTTCGTCCAAGAGCATCTCGTTGCTGTAGCTCTGGAAATTATGGTGTCAAACCCCTCCCCAGGGACATTTATTGAGCCAGGATGGAGCAAGAGCATCTTAGCTCAACAAACCCAACGGAGCACAGCGCCATCCTCCCAGCAGCTAAAGGAAAACACAACCACTGATCACTTTTGGCTATGACTTCACATCTGTGTACATCCCTTTCCAAACAACGTTACTGGTTATCTTTAGCACGGACAACAAAGCTGACTTCGAAGCAACAAGCAAGTTCTGGAAGGAAAAGGGGGGAAAAAAAGGAGGATTGTTTATTTGCTGCTCTTGCAGGGTGCTTGACAAACAGTGCATGACACGAGCCTGAGGAGCACGGGCCAAAGGACAGGAGGGTTTAGCTGGTGCCAGAGTTACCTAGGAATGACATCTGACAAAAGCAATGTACCAATTACATTGGAGAAGGAGCCAAAAACCCCATGCAAATGATTCCGTAAGCAAATCAAGGATACAACATACACCACAACCAGTTACTTGCTTTCCTGACAGTAGTTCTGAGATGCTCTCTCAAGAAACAAACTACTCTAAATGCAGGAGGGTCTCTTGGGGTTGAGTACTTTGGGGGGCAGAAGCGCTGAGTTCCCCAGAAATCTTATCATGAGGGAATAAACACAATGCCAAGGAATTTCAAACACCCTGACATCATGAGGAAGTCTAGGTAGCCAATTTTAATAGAAAATAAACAGCCAAGACTTCAGAACATTTTGGAAAGTCCTTGTCTCGGAGCACTAGGAGAAGAGGCTGCTGGTTTTCCTTGGAATATATGTGGATATTCACAACACTTTTTTAGGGTGCTCTACAGAAGTTGAAGTAACAGAAAGCAGCAAAGACAGACCTCTACCATCCTGAAGGGACTCACTGTTCTTTTTTAGTGCACAATTCAAAACCCTTTCAAAAGGCCCAATTCCAGAATGCATCCTGTACTCAGCTTTTGAAAGAAGTTTCATGTTTTTCAGGCATTTCATGCAGGGCCTGAGAGACTGATGGGACTCGGAGCAGGAGTCACTTTGGAACAATTCTCGTACAGGATGTACATAGCACTGGTGAATTCTAAATACTTCTGGCTGGCTGACTCTGCCTCTTTCCTGGAGCAGAGTCAGCCTGCCACACACAGGAACAGTGGATCTGGAAACCAACCCAAAGCTCAAATTAGAGGAATTAAGCTGGCCCAATGTAAAGAGAACATTGCTTTGTGAAAAAAGGGAAAACTGGACGAGACAGAGGATTCTCTTACCTAATTGTATTTACTAAATGTGGTTGAGGTGCTACCAAAATCAGAGGGGAAGACACACAAAGAAGATACAGCTACAGACACCAGTAGAAAGAAACTCACTCTTGTGATCTGGGCTCCAAAATTAGAAGGGTTTGCTTTCAATACATCAGCTGAAAACGTCACATCACAAAGAAAAAAAGAAAGTAAAAATATAACAAGAGTGGAAGAGAGGAAAAAAAATAAAAAAAAAATACAAGCAAGCATTACTAGAGAGCTGTGGGTGTGTGGTGCCAGCTACTCTACAGAGCGGGAGAGGAGCCAGCAGAGCTACAGGACCAGGATGGGGGTCTGGAGAGGGGGGACACAGACACGGACACGCACGGACACAGCAATGATCCCACCTGGAACAGCAGAGCTACTTTCACCAGGACAAGTAAAGGGCTCAAGGGTTTTGTGGTGTGTGTTAAACGTTGAAGAGTAAATTTTTTTTCCAAGAGGGAGGAAAAAAAAAACCAACAACCACCTAGATGGGACTAAAGCAACGCCATCGGCTTTTTCAGGCTGATTTCGAAAGCGTGTCTGAAATGCTCCGGGAAGTTACAGCCACCAACAGCTGACAAAACTATTTAATGGGGGCTGGTGCCAAGTCTCGAGATCACTCACCCATTTGGAAAAAAATATGACCCAGCTATTTACACCAGACATGAACTGTGACCTTTTCCTTTCAAGAGGAAGGTGCGATGGTGCACCCAGAACCCCCTCCAGCCCCTGATCACCTCCAGGGACACAAAGTGGGCTCAGAGTTGTTGGGAATAATGCAGCTGCCCCCGAGCTCTCCTGCCTTCACTACATGGCAATTTGAATGCAAACAGAATTAAATACCCTTTTTTAAATGCTGACCTTTATGTGTCTTTGCAGCCCCAGCCTCCCACTCTCAGCACTTAGAAATTAGAGGTGTGAAGCAAATGAACCACCCCAAAGCACTGTAACCCCACAATATCCACCACAGCAACCTCCAGCTGCACCCAAACCCGTGCTCTTTAGGGTGACAAACCACTGACTGTGGTGTTGAGGTTGCTGAGAATCTGTTACTCCTCAAACTGGGGAAAAGTTGGTCTGGCTTTACACAGGACTAAGAGATCTCAAGGCTGAGTTTCTTTTTGTCACACAGGAGCCAGAAGGAAGAAGGGTCTTGCTGGGGGAAATACAGGGTAGAAAAGCTCCACAAATGCACCATGCCAGCTCCTTGGGAATGTAAAATATGGAATGTAACATTGTTCAGCTTATTTGACTGCCCTAAAACAAGGCACCTATCATTGGAAATGACTCCTCGAGTTTGCAAGAGACCTGCCTGGACTGCATTATCTTCCATAAATGCACCCTGGGGTAGGGAAAAGGGGGACACCAGGAGCCCAGATTGCTCATCTGTAAAAACAGCTCAGGAATGGAACTCTGAAAACAGCCAGAACTTCTCCTGACTGGGGAGAAGCAATTCCAGGCCTGAAGTACAATTTTCCAGCATGAAGGGAGCACATGGAGCACTGAAATGTTTCTCATACACTTCAGGCCTCAGCCTTCCCAGAAAGTCATCTGAACTAAACAGAGACTTAAGCCAGGCTTACATTAAAGAAATTTCCACCTAATCCCAAGGCAAGTGTTCATTATTCCAATCCTCCAAAACCTCTAAATTCCTTTTTGGATTGCACCATGTGTTTGGGTGTGAGGGAGGCTGGACAGCCACAGAACTGCCCCTTCCCCCAGCACAGCAGAGAAATTTCAACAAGGATTTAACAAAGCCACTCCATCATCCTTGGGCAGCTTCTCCCTTCCAAAAGGAGTCCTGGGAAACCACCTTCTTAGGGTGAATCCTGCCTTTTTAAAGTCTTCTCATAGTGCTGAGCAAGACTATGATTTTTGCAACAGGATTAGAGCCACCAACCTGTATTAAATCAAACACAAGCTTCATGCTGCTATAGGATTTCAAAATTAGGAGGCATTTTTTGCTCCACAGGCAGTGTGTTTTCTGAGGAAGCAGCAACGTAGTTTCAAGCTGTCAGATGATAACGACAATCAAGGCAAGGAATATTACTCTGCTGGTTTATTGCTTCAGCTGTCAGAAGGGCCACACCAGTGAGTGAGTGACCAGCACATTAGGACACAAATCACCAACACTTATATGAAGTTTCTCCAGATTTCCACACTCTGGAAGCAGCACTTCACTACCTCCAGCCTTCCTGTGTTTTATTAATAGCTGCCACCCCCCTCAGTTTTGTAACAAAGAAGAGTATTTTAAGTTTTCAGCCTTGTTTCTAACAAAATCATCATCTCTACATTTCCCCAGGAGTGCAAATGGAGCTCCTGAAGAGCAGGTTTGTTATCAAATCTGCAGCTACGTCCGGACTCCAGCACAAAGAGGCCACAGTGATGGATTATCTCCCGATCCCTGCGTGGCTCAGGAGGGGCCAAATTGGCAAAATCCACCATCACCTTACAATTCCCTGCAAATCAGCTTAAACCAGCTGCCCTGCAGCATCTCTGAAAAGCTCCAGAGCCCAGCACAGGCACAGCAAAATGGGGAAATAAAGGGGGGGGGGGAGCAGGAACTATTCTAACAGGAAAGCCACAGAATCATCACAGAATGTCCTGAGCTGGAAGGGACCCCCAAGGATCATCGAGTCCAACTCCTGGCCTTGCACAGGACACCCCAAAATCACACCCTGTGCCTGAGAGCATTGTCCAAACACTCCCTGAAAGGCTTGGGGCCATGAAACAACTCAGCACACCCCAGATTTTGCTGGTGAGGTGGTCTCAGGTGAGACCTCCCAGTACCCAGCTGGGGTGTGGAGCTTTATAGGTTCAGAACCAGCAGTAAATGGGTCTTCTCAGTTGAGGTGACAGAGCCCTGCAGTACCACTGAACTGAGGCCCTCTGGGAGACATTCCTGGGCTAAAACTGCAGAGCAGAAGGAGATCATGTTATTCTCACAATACAAAAGCCTTCTGACAAACCTGAAGACTTTCATGCCAAACCTCAAACTGAGGAGATGGTCAGACCTGATCCACGGACAGGGCTCGAGGCAGGACTGCTGTGGCATCAGAGCCAACTCCTCCCCTGCTACTGTTCTCAAATCTGCAAATCTCCATTAAGCAAAATAATAATAATAGTAGTAGTAGTAGTAATAATAATAGTAGTAATAATAATAATAATAATAATAATAATAATAATAATAATAATAATAATAATGTACTTCTCATTCCATGCCAGCAGATGTCTGGCTTTCTGAACTTTTGATGTCTGCTTGATTCTTTGCCACAACAGCTTCTGGGAGTTAACAACACCATCAGCTAAACACAAGCTCCAAGGATGGCAACCTTTATTGTTTTATCCAAGTGAGAACACAAGCCTGGTTTATCTTTGGTATTTGGTAATCAACATTCTTTGCATGCTCAGTAATGAAGTGAAAAGGAGCAGAGAAGAAATGGCCTGCAAATGCTGCTTTATTGCATCTTAATTTCCTCTCTGACACCACATTTTCCACTTAGGAAAAAATATGATAATGTGACAGAGATGGCCCAGTGACCCCAGCTCTGCCCTGCAGGAGGTTGGCAACCCTTGGAATCACACTGGAATCACACTCCAGGCCTGGTATGCCGAGGGCTGGTTTTACTGAACATTCTCCATGTCTAAGTGCTCCCCTCCAAATGTGTCTGTCATCAGCAAACGAGCAGCTGAACAACCAGAACTGGGTTAAGAAAAATATCACAGGATGGTTTGGGTTGGAATGGACCTTAAAGCTCAGCCAGTCCCACCCCCCTGCCATGGGCAGGGACACCTTCCTCCAGCCCAGGTTGCTCCAAGCCCCATCCAGCCTGGCCTTGGACACTTCCAGGGATTCAGGGGCAGTCACAGCTTCTCTGGGCAACCTGTGCCAGGGCCTCCCCACCCTCAGAGGGAATAATTTCTTCCTAACATCTATCTAATCTAAACCTACTCCCTCCCAGCTTAAATCCATTTCCCCTTGGTCTGTCACTCCAGGCCCTTGTCCAAAGTCCCTCTCCAGCTCTTTTGCAGTCAATTGGTGGGATTTTTTGAGGATAAAGCATTTCTGAGGTAGAAGAATCTCCCACGTAACACCAAGTACCTCAGAGATTCTCTCCTCAGCCTTCTCTCCATTTAAGCTGTGCTTGGAGGCCCAAGTTTTTGGAAAGCACAAGTCCAAGTCTCCCCAAACCAGGAGACTCGGGCTCTGGATTTAAGAGTCTTCATCAACCCCAGCAGTGACTGTGTTGGTAATTCTATTGTGCTTTAACAGATCCCTCCCTCTCAGCATTAGAAGCAAAGATGCAGATAATTAGGGCACAAAGAGAACTGCAGATCTGTAGTTTCAGTTCTTAGCTCCACCCTGTTTCCCAAAGAACTTCTTTATGGAAATACATTCCCTTTGTCCTTTAACTGAGAGAATCTGTGCAGAATTAATCATCTACACATCCAAAATAATACACACTTCAGAGGGGGAAAAAGCTACATAAAAGCTTTCATTTCAGTCCTGGTTATATTCTCCCAGGGAACCTGGCACAGGTTCACACAGGAACACGTTTGTTTTTCACAGGGGAATGTTTTGATTCTGCTGGGTCAGTGACTCAGTAAACAGCTGAACCCCTCAGCAGGGGCACGGGCAGGAAAGGAGTGCCCGGGTGTGAGATTCTGTAAGTTCTTGGCTTGTTAAAAAACCCTCACAGTAAATGGTTCAGAACTGACACCTCAGGTAATTCCAACTGTAACACCTTCTGCAGGCTGCTCCAAGTGCTGGGCCCTGCACATCCAGGTTTACTGGACAGGAATACACACACTGGGTACAGCCCCAGGTAAGGGCACCCACCCTCATCTTCACACAAACCTAACGTGGAGTTTCTATCTTGATGTCAAAACCCCAAACTGAATTAAGGGCCCACTTGGATGTAATGCCCTAAGGTCACATTCCCACTGAGCCCAGAGTGCTCCAGGACTCTGGGATCTCCCAAGGATCAGGATAGAAAAGCAGTACAAAAATCACAGAATCACAGATTGCTTTCGGTTGGAAAAGACCTTAAAGCCCATCTAGTCCCACCCTCTGCCATGGGCAGGGACACCTTCCATGTCCTCTCCAACCTGGCTTTGGACACTTCCAGGGATATACACTGGGTCCATATTCACCACCCAAGCTCCTCTCTAGCTGCAGAAGTTTTCTTCCAACATTTTCCACCTTTTTTCTGTACACTTTTATTAATTATTACTCTGTTGACAACTGTGACTGGACACCATCCGAGGCAGGACCCTTCATAACCTACCAGGCCTTTAGATCAAGATCTTACAGCTAAAAAAACCACCATTAAAGACATCAGCAGCTTTCCAGGGTACAAGAGGTTAAGAGATCCATGGTTAAAGACTTTTCCAGTTGCTCACTGAAGGATCTGTGAGGGAACTGAGCTTATTGTCCCTCCTGCAGTGCCATCTGCACCCACTCCAGTTGCTTTTAGTCCTCTGACTTCCCCCAAGAGGGACCAGAGGGTGACCAGAAGGTTATAGGTCTTTAAAACAGCTGCACTTCTCATCTCAACTATCAACCTAATTAAAAAGAAAGCTAGGGAACAACACTGCACACCTCCAGCAGGATGGATTAAAATACAGCAACTGAAACAGGTTTGTGAGAATAAATGGAAGGTTGTTTTCCCAGGTAAGGAAATTCTGCCTTTTGGATAGAAACTTGGTATTGAGGTTGGTTCAGATGGAGCCAAATGCTCTAAAAAAACAGGATAGCCAGGAAATGATAGAATAAACCTCCCCTTTAATTGTTTGGTGTTGGCACAATTTTGGTGGGTCCAAAATTTATCCGGTTGGGATCAATAAATACACTTACCTATCATCCCTGTTTGGCAATAATCCTGAGTTCCTTCCTGGAATACAAGACAGTGTCTTTATAACTGGGGAGCAGAAAGGGATCTGAGGATGGAACATCTATTTACAGGGACAGCCTGTGGCTCGCTGCACCACAGAGGGATAAGCAAACACTTCAACGTCAGGGGATGTGGAACTAAAAATACTTAAAAGCAAAAATGATCCTGGGGAAATCAAGCCAAGAAAAAGGGAAAAACGAGCTCTGTTGCCTCAAAAATTACCACTGAGAAGACAAAATACTGCAGATAACATTATACCAAGCCAGGTTGCTGTAACTATCTAAGATACTGTAGCAGCTCATCTTTCCAAGAAAGCCAGCCGAGTGGCCTACTTTGAAGAAAACTTTCTGGTTTTCCTCAAAAACTTTGTGCTCCCCTTTCTGTAACCTTGCCTTCTTGTCCAAAAAAGTAAAATGTGAAACATTGACATGCAACATATAAAAAGTACAGCTTTTTTTTTTTTTTTTTATTAAACTACCTTAAAATTTAGACTGGACACAGCAGTGAGATGATGTTACTTATGCAAATTCACCCTCATTATGTCTCTGGAGTTTCAAGTTCACTCCCTGAACACAGACCCAACAGGGTCACACACATTTCAGCCTGACACAAAGCTGGACAAGCAATTTTTTCCCTAAGCAAAGCATGATTGCTTCTTTGTCTAAATCCCTCTGTAACTGGAAATTAATGCTGGGTGATGAAGCCACAGTTTGGAGGCTCATTTGCTCCAAAGCCTGCCTGAAGTGACTGCAACGGATGGAATTATCCAAGAACATAATTCCTTTCAAAATAATCAGCAACCCCTAAATTCTTCCTGCTGATGAGATGTCCCCACCCTGTGTGTCTACAAGACATTTTTCTCTCAGGTCACTCCTGCTGATCATTCCTTTTATACCAACGAGGAGTGGTTGCTTCCACAGGTTTGTTTCTTCCTTCACAGCATCTCCAGGTGCTAGAAAAGCTCTGGGCCTTGCCAGGCTCACGTCAGTCCCCCATTAGTCACCGAGGGTTTGAACAGGAGTTGACATAATTATGCTGCATCAGCACACTGAGAATGTGACACAAACAGGTCCTTCCACCTCCTAAATAAATGCAGGTCGTTGCACTCGAGTTTCAGTCAAGCTGATGGAAACCTTCAGGTGAAGTTCACAGCTCTCAGGTGTCAGGACTGTGCCAAAACAGCCCTTTGCCCAACACAAAGTGCATGAAGGCATTTCTGCTCTGAATTCCACTAAACCAAACCTGGTCACAGAAAACTGCCCTGCCACGAGAATTTTTGTTAAGACTCCCTTACAGAATCTACTTGGAATACTCTCACATCCTACATTTAATCCACACACCAAAAAATCACATTCTAATGCCATATTCCTGTTTTTAAGCCGTTCACTGCTATTTTGCAAGCTCTAGTACCCTGCAGCACATCCTCCACGAGGTATCAGCATTTTAATGATTGTGTTGTTAGAATTTATGACTAGGAACATCAAAATCCTCCTCTGAGCCATTCCAGCTCTGGGTGAGCCCAACACCGCTGTCTGCTGTGCAGTAACATCTCATTTAGCAGTTTAAGTGGTCAAACAGACCAGGCTAACACATGAACTTTTTATTATTTACTGTGCAATGTGAAATACCCTGTGAACACATCCCTACCTTGGGAACAAAGCCAGCTCCACACAGACTCTGAATCCACCTTCTCCTGAGGGTTACAGGATTTGGGAAGTGCTCCTTTGACACAGCCCATTATTTCCTGGTCTGTTTTCAGTAACTCAACAGAACACAGACTGAAGTACTAAAATACTCACACGTGGTGTATCATCACTCCCCAAAGCTGTACTGTGCTAAAAGTGAACTGGGAGCCATCCATATCCACATGTTCTATTCCCAGTTTAACAGCAGCCCATTCCTGCCCCTGGGTCTCTCAGAACTGGGGCTCCTTGATGCCAATTGTGGATTGGGGTTTGGGGTTTCTCTGTTGTTTTGGAATTTTAAAGGCATGGTGGGCATGAAAATCTTACCCAGCAACATAAAACACCTATTCCTGGAGCTATAAGGAAAACAGATACACCAGGGAAATTCCAAGTATTAACCACAGACAAGACCACCACGATGAACATCAGACTGGTGAACTGTGCTATCAGCACTTGGTTACCTGTTTGTGAGCGTGGTCATAAGAGTTTATGTGGTTGTCAAACTCCTGATGCTTCTGATACTGCTTGTCACAGAGTTCACAGTAGAAGTTTGCTCTGAGGTCTTCCAAAGCCTTGGCAATGGCCTTTTCTTTATCAACATAATCCTAAAATATTAACAAAGAAATGCTTCTGTTAAACATCCTGTAAAACAGACTGGAAGATGAGGAGTTAGTCCTTCAAGGAAAAATAATGTTTCAGAAAAACTTAGAGTATATTGATGGTTATATTTATTACAGAATCATTTGGGTTGGAAAAGACTTCCCAAGATCATCAAGTCCACCCTGTGCCCAATCCCCACCTCATCTCCCAGCCCAGAGCACTCAGTGCCATGTCCAGTCCTTCCTTGGACACCTCCATGGGTGGGGACTCCACCACTCCCTGGGCAGCCCCTTCCAGTGCCTGACCACCCTTTCCAGGAAGAAATTCCTCCTCATGTCCAACCTGACCCTCCCCTGGCACAGCTGGAGGCCGTTCCCTCTCCTCCTGTCCCTTGTTCCCTGGGAGCAGAGCCCGAACCCCCCCTGGGTCCCCCCCTCCTGTCAGGGGGTTGCAGAGCCAGAAGGTCCCCCCTGAGCCTCCTTTTCTCCAGGCTGAGCCCCCCCAGCTCCCTCAGCTGCTCCTGCTGCTCCAGCCCCTTCCCCAACTCCGTTCCCTTCCCTGGACATGCTCCAGCCCCTCAATGTCTTTCTTATCGTGAGGGGCCCAAAACTGAACCAAGGATTTGAGGTTCTTTTCCAGCTTTCCAGCCACTCTTCCCTCACTCCGGAGCACTCCATGGGGTTGTTGTGACCCAAGAGCAGGACCTGGCACTTGGCCTTGCTGAGCCCAGCTTATCAAGCTGAGCAGTCTTTGCAAATTCACAGGTGTGATTCCAGAACTTTGCAATGCCACCGACTCCATTTCTTACACAGAATATCACCTTGTCAGAGCACAGGTATCACTAAAACAGACTTAAAACAAGGCCTCCAGCGCTGACAGGAGAAGGCAGCTCTGCCTCAGGAGAGCCTGTGGGACTGTCTGTGCTCTAAGGAGAGGTTCAAAGCCTTGAGCTCACCCACAAATGCACCGGCAGAGTGTAAGATGCACAAACACACATCAAACCAGGCAGGATTCCTGCCTTTGGAACAGAACTTCAAATGCTGGTGCTTCCTCCATTTTGAGTGCTAACAGCTGCCTGCTTGTTCTTGGTTTGTGTGCCTGAATTCAGGAGGGAGGAATGCAGCTCCAGCTGGGAATCACTGCTCAGACACCAAGAGTCCAACCCACCCCAGCAGATTCCCTGTCAGTGAAACCTTCCCAGGAGCAACACCGTCCATCAGGCTGAGCCCAGACACAGGGATCACACTGGGCACAGGGAGCTGCATTTAATGAACAGGGGGAAGGAGACCACCTTGAAGGCTGCAGACAGGATTTGTTTCCTTAGAATTCAGTGGTTTTGTAGGTGGAAAACCAAACCTGCAGACAGAGGTGGTGTCTGGATTGGCAACAGTCACATCCTGAGCTCTTTAGCTACAGGTTTTGGGGGGGCACAAGCTCTGGGACTCTGGGGCAGTCCCAGTCCCTCAGGTGGCTGTAGTGGCTGGAAATGCAGGTGCTGGAAGGAGCCTGTGCTGCTCCCCAGCCCTGTCCCCAGGGCACAGCCCCAGCTCAGACACACCTGAGCCCCAGACACAGCAACCTGAGGGCAAAGCAGCCCCTCCCCTGGCCAGGCTGGCTCAGTTACAGCCCCACCAGCAGAATTAATAAAACATCACCACTCTGCACAAGCACTGGGGAAGGTTTTCTCTGAGGAGGTGGAAGCTTTTGCACTGCTTCTTACTCAAAACCAGCTGCAAACGCTACATCCCAAAGCCCACTGTAGCAGCACATCCCAAAGAGCCACTTCCCACAGGCAATTCAACTGGAATAAAGAGAACTATACAAAAAAAATAGCCTAACATTAGAGAAAAAGCACTGAAGGGTTTAAGTGTTTCCATCTTCAATACAAACTTCTCGTGGGAAGCTTCCTTGCCCAGCAAGAGGAAGCAGCAAACATTTAAGAGAGATAAACTGTGCAAGATTTTTTTTTCTTTTTCAGTTCAGATCTTGTTCAAGGCAATATGTTTTATCTCCCAGTTACCACATCAAAACTGCATTAAAAGAACACTACTGAGCATGTTTTATATGATGCAAAATTTATGTAAAAAATTTCAGCACCTGAGGAGGGGGAAAAAAAACATCTTGAAAAATTCCTGTGCTAATGTTTGGGGTTGTTTTCAATTTAAAGCACTGTTCACCTCCTAAATAAAAGAGATGTATTGCAACTTCCTGCTTCCATCTATTACCAGATGCCCTTGTTAAGAAGAAAAAAGAGGAAAAAAAAAATCAACAAATCTGGAGGTTTGAGCCTGAAGCAGGTCCCCAGAAAGACAAGAAAGGAAAACAGAGCAGCGTGAGATCCACAGAACACTGAGGTTTAACGTTCCTCTGAATCCCAGAACAAGCTTCCTGCACCATGGGTAGGTTTTTTTGAGCAAGCATCCCATGGCTGAACAATGAAACTCAGCCATTTGAATGATCAGAATCTATACAAAAGGAGGGAATTAAAGAACATTTATGGTTTGCTTCTTGGCTGCAGAGTTATCCCGAATTCCTTTGAGGCTCCCTGAATGGCTAATCAGGATGCACAGTTACATAATGGCCTCCTGTGGAGCAATGCAAAAATAAGGACTGCAGAGATTTTGCACAGATTAATACCAAAATGCAAGGGGTAAGGATGAGGCATGATAATAAAAACCCACTGGAGCTGGGAGAGGCTGCTGCTGCTGCTCCAGAGCTCCTGGAAAATACCCGGGCTGGATAAGGGCAGGAAGAGGAAAAGAGTCTCAGAGCAACACAAATTCAGCTGTATTTGAAAAGAGAATTGCAAACCCCAAGAACTTCAGAATCCTGGAATGGACTTTAAAACCAAGGACCTTAAAAGCATCCACTTCCACCCTCTATTATGGGCAGGGACATCTTCCACTATCCCAGGCTGACCCAAGCCCTGTCCAACCCGGCCTTGAACAACTCCAGGCACGGGGAATTCACAGCCCTTATGGGCACCCAAAAACCTGCAGTTCACTGACTGAGCAAGTCAAGGGCTCAAAAAAAAAAAGAAGAAATGAGGCTATAAATTTTTGTAGCTGAACAAACTGCCTGCAGAATTAACTGTTCAGCTGGGGAAATGGAATTTTAGATTTGCCAAGGTTATGTTTAATTTTAATGGAATTGAAACTACTCTTCCATTATTTCTCAAAGAAATAAAATTTATGCAACTCTGACACTTCATTCGGATGTCTCAGGCTCTTCCTCAACCCTGGTACTTCCCCAGTCTCAGGACAAATGAAGAAGAAGGTTTTCCTAAAACCTGATGGGCTGGGAAGAGGATGAGTGGATTAAAGGACCAGCAAAGACCAGGTCCCCACAGAGAACCTGGTTACAGCTAATCCAAGAATGCTCCAGCACGTCACACTCAACCCCAACACCACAGCTCATTTTTATCAGCCTCTGGCTTACAAAATAACCCCTCAGGTTTTGTAAACCCCATGGAAATACAGAATCATTATTTTTTTTTTTTTAATGTTGGCAGAGCAATTCTTCCAAAGAACTACAGCCCATCGATTTCTCCAAGCTGGAGCCGTTTCCTACCCTTCCAAATTAAGCAGGATTTATGTAATAATGCACTACTCACAAGACAACACCTCCTCTCTCCCAGCCCCTCTGCAGGTTTTGCATCAACAACGTGGCAGGTCCACTAGAAAAATCTGGCAGCCCTGGGCACAGGGAAGGAAATGTCCTGCTGACCATAAAACTGTTTTTTTTTTCAGAACAGCAGCAAAACACACAGAGAAAAGCCCTGCTGGTGTCCTGGAGCTCTTCAGCAGCTAAACAAACACCAAGGTTAATGCCAGGAAGTGAATAACCAGTTTGTTAAAATATAAATCATCTCAACAACGATAGAACCCAATAACACTTAATTCCTGCCACCATCACTGCAGCCTAAGGAGAAGAAATCAGAACAAATCTTTTCCCAGCCAGCCCACGGACACTCTGATGTTGATGCCCCCCTTTCTGTACCTTGTATTTCTGCCTCAGCTCCTCGGTGTCTTCCTTCTCCACCTCCAGCACTCGCCTCCGCTCTGTGGCATCCTCGGCATAGTCAAGCTTTTTTTTTTAAAAAAAAAAAAAAAGATAAGAGATGCAATTTGTCCCATAAATACTTTGCACTCCCACTGCCAGAATGCACAGCTTAAAAACCATGTGGTTTGAAACAGAACCTCTGCATTTTGTGCTTCGTTTTCTCTCTGCAAAACGGGTCATTAATGCACATGAGGTGCAGGGTCCTGTCCACGCCAATGGCAACCTCAGCTTTGGTGGGGGGAGAAAATCACAGAGCTCAGGGATTTTGGGGAGCATCCAGACCCCAGAACTCAGGTCCCCGTGGATAAACAGAGAGGAGAAGCATTTGAGAAGTGTTTTTTTGAGGAGAAGTGTTTTCTTACTGTGTCGATTTAAGAGCAAGTTGTTCTGCATCTTTGATGCCAAATTCTCACTTGGAAATTTTTTCATTTTGCCTTCCCCACCTGTTCCCAAGAGCCATGCAGGGTTGAGGGGGCGGGTGGAGGCGACCTTACCTCCATCTCCATGCGGCCCATGCCCATGACATCATACTTGACCACGATAGGGATGGGATCCGTCCTCCCTGGAAGAGGAACACACAGAGGGGCCTCAGGAGCAGCCTGGCACCGCGGCTCGTGTACACATTGGGTTTGGGTGGTTAGAGATCTTGCCTTGGAGTGCAGAGACCAGAAAGCTACAGTGAACCAAACACGAGCCATTCTCACAGCTTACAGCCAAACCTGCGCCCCCAGCACTCACAAAGGGCTTTTCTCAACAAGAACTGGCCACGTAAAATGTTCTCGTGGTTCATGTTCCCCCGTGTCCCTCACGGCTTCCACATGGGGCCACACGTGCTCCTCATCTTCCCACAGGAGGGAAGAGGCTGTTAAACACATTTTGTTGCTCTAGCTCATGAATAATCACTTAGGACTTCCCTGTAAAGGGTGTGGAAGCCTCCCTCCCACCAGCTTTTGTCCCTCCCCAGGAGCAAGGAATGCCAAACTTCCTTCAGCCACGGCCAGGTGGGTGACACCTGCCCCCCAGGAGATGCTCTGGCACTCCTGTGTCACCTGTAAGCTGTGAAAAGGACTAGTTGCGAAGAAAATTGACTTTGAACTAATCAAACTATGCTGGAGATTTTTTTTTTATTTTTCTTTAAAAAAAAAAAAAAACAAACATATCTTTAATCCACTCATAACCAGCCAAACAAAGCAAAATGGGGCAGACAAGCACTTTACTACCACAGCTTTTTTTTTATTATTATTATTTTAAATTATTATTATTATGTTTGATTTTTACATCACAACTGGCACTGTTGGTTGTGATGTAACCCACTGAACAAAGTACTTACCTTCTCCGGTGCATACCTTGAGTGAAAAAACAGAATGTTTACTTCCCTTATTATTGCTCTTGTTTGGTGTAAACAACTGTTTTGTTATACACACATACACAGGTATTATACCTTTGGGCTAAAAGATCCACAGGTTTGAATCGTGCCAAAAAGATTCCATGTGCAAAAGGTCCAAGTCTTTAAAAATGCCTCGGAAAACCTGGTGAGGTGGGAACTCTTTGCCAGCATCAGCTCTAATTCCTGCCAAAGCCACAGCCCCAGAGGGCCTTTTGAACCTTAAAGTACAGAGGCATGGTTTTTATTCAGAAATAAGTCAAATAAATCCATTTAATTAGTTGCTCTATGGATTTGCTGATACACCCAGGAATTTGACAGGCAGGTATCCATCAGGTCCAAAACCAGCGACCATGTTGATCCAAAACACTTTGGATTGAGCCTTGTTTTGGGTACCAAGGTTTGTCAGGGTTTCTCTCATGCCCAATGGTATAATACAGTAAGCAGTGACTGCAATTTTTAGCAAAAGGACCAAATCAAAGACAGGTTATAAAAATGACTTCCTAAGTGCAATATCACTTTCATAACGTCTCAGCCAGGGATTTACTGGTAAGTGGTGAACCCAAATGGAATGGCTGGCACCAGGTGCCAACAATTTATTATTTAAATTGTTTTTCGAGCTTTTTTTTGGTTTGGTTTTTTTTGTTTGTTTGGTTGATAGTTTGTTTGTTTCTTTGTTTCTCCAGCAATGGACATCTTTGGATGCAGCCTCATTGCCCTGGTAAACCCCTGTGTACAAACAATGCATCAGTACTTTTGCCTTCTAAGGCAGTCAAAGTTTTGGTGTTTTTTTGTTTTGTTTTGTTTTTTAATTCAAAAATCTATTTGGAAATTGCAGTAGCAAGTGCTAGTGCCCATCGTGTTGGGGGGAGAAAAAAAAAAAATCAAGTTTGGACAGTATTAGAAATTTATGTTTAAACTGATTTTGGCAGTTCTAACACAAACAGAAACATCCCTTCTTAGCAATACCCTTTAATGAACAAGGATCAGACAAGTGTGCATAAAGAAAGGAAAGGAAAGGAAAATGAAAGACCAAGCAGAAGGATGATGGCTACAACAGAGAAAGTAAGCCTAACATTGGTGCACTGATGACAAAAGGAGTAATTCAGTCTGAAAATAAAAAATTACCACTGCTAAGTTTACCATCACCACAACAAGTCCAGGATCATAACGCTGTAAAAAAGAAACACCATTTGTTAGGCAGAAACCATGAGGGGCAGAAAATAGGCCGTTTGGCAGGGAGGATGGGTTAAAAAAAATTCAGACCAACAGGAGGCTTCTTGCTCACCCCTCCACCCCACGACCGTGCTCTGGGAACGCTCGGAGCGGCTCCTTTTGGGTGTTTTGGGAGAGGCCGAGCTCCTGGTGACAGCCCCGTCCCAGAGGGGCACGAGGCACATGGAATCAGGCAGTTTAAAAAGGAAACAAACCGGGATCTTAAGGAATTGTGAATGTTCTGTGCCCAAAGGAGCTCTGGTTGCAGGTGAGAGGAGGATATTCCATGCGAAAAGCGATGCCTTCCTTTTTTTTACTGAATCATCCTTTCCTTACAAATGAGACACCATGGGGTGACATCCAGGGGACAAGTGGCACGTCCAAACATGGCACAGCAGCAGTGCCAACCCCACACTGACCCCCTGGACCTGGCACAGCTCTGTGTCCAAGGAAAGCCACGGTGGAAGAGGGACAGGGACATGCTCAGGGCCACCTCTCACCCTGCTGGCTGCCAGAGGGAACATGGACAGCAGCCAAAGGGGGAAATGGGACTTTTTCCTTTAGCTCTTTAAGCTCTCCTTTGAAAGAACTTCCTCAAGAAAATTTATCCTACTGTTGGTCATGCCAACAGGGTCTTTCCCAGCACGTAAATGTGGCTCTCGGACGTCAGGGGCCTCCCAGGTTTGGGGTTCCTGCTGACTTTGGTACATCAACACGCTCTGAAGGGAAAATAAGCTTTCAAGAAAGGCCCAGAATTCCCACATTTCCTGCCACACCACAGGGCTGCAATCAATGCCACACAGACACCTAATCCCCCATGGGAAAAATCCTGCAGAACACACAGTTGTGTCCCAGCCCCCTGCAGCCCAAAACATTGATCTTCTTTCTGGAGCAGGTCACAGACTCCTTCACAGACTGGTCACTGTGCACAGACCCCAAACCAGAGAGGGTTATTGCATAAAACACTTCCACACACAGGGAAAACCTCTGTGGAAAGGACAGAGCAGGAACCTCCAGAGGGATGAGAAAAACAAAGAGCTCGCACAAGAGTCGCACCTTAGAAAATCCAATCTCAAAGTAAATTAGGTTTGTAATGATTCCCCGAATTCAGAAATGAAATGAGACTCCCAAACTGACCAGCTGTGTCTCCTTTTGCTTTCCTCTTCCTCAGGAAAAGGGGAAACCTTCCTCCCAGCTTGTGAAAAATTGCTCAGTCCCAAACAGACTCCAAGAACAACCCCCTTCCCAGAGCCCCGCAGGGGCAGGGAGCATCTGCCCAGGCAGGTTTCTCAAAATTCCCACCTTTTTCATTCCACAAAGTGATTGGATATGAGCAAATACTTCACCCTCAGTGCTACAAATTAATAAATCTTGGAAAAAGAGTTAATCTTAACGCTGCAGGGATGTGGTGTCAGACACAAGTCCCAGTGCACACGGAGGACTGTGGGTTCAGGGCCACGTTCTGGCTCTGGACATGGGCTGGATGCTGCTCTTTGGAATGGGAATGCTGGACCTGCCACCTGAGACCACCCAGAAACACCAGCATTGTTAACACCAGCACACATTTCATCTTGGTTTTGAACAGTCAAAACAGAAAAGAGTTTTCACTGACAATCTGCAGATTCAGGAGAATTCCTCCCTCCAGCAGCAGCAGCACGGGGAACAGAATTCTAGAAATGTTTGGGTTGGAAGGGACCTTAAAAACCACCCAGTCCCACCCCCTGCCATGGGCAGGGACACCTTCCATCAGCCCAGGTTGCTCCAAGCCCTGTCCAACCTGGCCTTGGACACTTCCAGGGATCCAGGGGCAGCCACAGCTTCTCTGGGCAACCTGTGCCAGGGCCTCCCCACCCTCACAGGGAACAATTTCTTCCCAATATCTAATGTAACTTCATCCTTTTTTTTTTAAGTTTAAAACCTCTGCCCTTGTCCTATCATAACAAATAAGTTTCTCTGTTAAAAAGACATTCAGAAATAACAGGATGCTCCCACTAAAAAGAAGATGAATCCCCAAAATTGTTCACATAATTCAGTCAAACCTCTTTCAGTGCATCCCTCATGCACAGTGTGGAAGCACCACTGAGATAAGAGACCAGCCTGAATCCTGCCTGCTGTGTCAACATCTTCATAGAAATTCCCCCCAGGTACAAGCTTTGTGGGATTTAATCCTAGAGGACTGATTGATATCACACTCTTCACTGGAGGAGAATTTCACAATCTAAGCATCTCCAGAGGACACAGACAACAGACAGAGGGACGTGGTCTCATTGGGCACAGAGGATTTCTCCTTGTTCCTTATCTTTATGCTATAATCAAAACCACAACAAGACACAACCTTCCAGGGGGTTTTAATTGCTCCTGGAAAGGGACTGATACAGTGAAAAGACAGCTTTGTGCAGGCAGCACAGGGCAGTTTTAGGATCACATCACTGGGTTTGCTCTGGTGGGTAAGGGCTGGTTTGTTCAGTCAGCACAAACCCCACTGCAGGCTCTGGAAGGGCAACAGGAACCTGGAGATCAACACCAGGAATGGATCCATACATTCAGGGCCCTCACCTTCAGCTACACTGTCTGAGAAGCGTGAGATAGGGACGAGTTTCATTTTCAAAGACGAGGATTTTCCAAGCTCTCAACACTCCTGGGTCTGTTTTGATGCAGCCGGGGGAAGTTGGGCTCTTCTCACAGGGAACAAGTGACAGGATAAGAGGAAACAGCCCCAAGCTGTGCCCAGGGGAGGTTTAGGTTGGGTATCAGGGGAAATTTCTTCACTGAAAGGGTTGTAAAGCATTGGAACAGACTGCTCAGGGCAGTGGTGGAATCATCATCCCTGGAGGGATTTAAAAGTTGGGTGGATGTGGCACTTGGGGACATGGGTTAGTGGCAGCCTTGGCAGTGCTGGGTTCCCTGTGAGTCTGTGACAGCCCAAGAGCTGTCACATTGGAAATTCAAACTCCTCATTCAGT